TTCATTTTAATTAATTTTGTCTTACGCTGGGGGGGTTCTCCACTTTTCTGTTAGCTAATATTATTTTTTATTACTTGCTATGGTGAAGGCAGAATTCTGATGCATACTTGACAGGGGGATCAAAGCTTGACAAGATCCATGTTTCAAAAGCATTAATTGCATTCATATTGCTGTGGTATATACCCCAACATGTTAAGGATCTAAAAACGTCATTAATACCTTCAGGATCAAGGTATTTACAGCCAGTGCTTTCAAAAGTAGTTAGGGATTGGGGTAGTCCAGTTAGACTCCATGAGAACAGCTTGACTTTCATTATATCTTAGTAGGTACCAGAACTTTCTCAGAGCTGGATTTATTCTGGGTATCTCCTGACCTGGTGCTCTTTTGAGAGTCTTTGTCTTGGATGGGTGATTAGATTTAGGATGTTGCCTTAAGGTGAAATGTGCAAACAGATTTAGAGGGGAGAAGTGGTTGTTACATAAATGTCCGTTCTTCTGGAGATAGATAGAGCAGTAGCTTGCTGCCCCCCCAGCCATTACTTTTCGGTTGGCAGTTGTTCTGGAGGCCACACAAACACCACGCTTAGCTGATCTTGCACATTTCCTGCCATTTCCCCTCTAGGTTTAAGGTAGTGTCAGTCACTAAAAACATGAGCATCCTGAATAGTGGAGGACTTCCTAAAGGATCTGCAGGTGTTGCTTTCTGTATTGCTAAAATATGTAAAGACTAGGCATCTACAGCAGAGTCCTCAGCTGAAGAGTTTCTTGCACTATTTTGTCTGCAAAAGAGCTGGAAAATTGCCCTTTTCCATTTGGCTTAAAACAAAAACGCTCAGCAACGTTTTTGGAATTTTCAGATTAAAATCCCTCCTGTTCCCTGGCAATGTATGCTTGTTTGCTCCCTCAGTTCTTAGTTACGCTAAGCTTTTAATATTTTTTTTAAGGGAGCATTGTAGGATATGTGTGAGTCTGTAGTGTAAAACTACATGTGTGATACGAGCAGGTTCATCATTGAGGCAGAGTGATAGAGAGTACAGAGTCAGTGCTGAACACTTGCTGGTAATAGCATGCAAATGATCCATTACTCTGTAAAACTTTTGGTATGATCTGATTATTAATATTCTGAATTGAATGCTAATTGGTAATACAATTTGCTGCATACAGCACCTGGTCGTCTTTCAAAATCTGTCCTTTACTCAGTACTGCGGGTAAAAACATCCGCCTTTTCTGTATTTGACTTGCATATTTCAGCTCCAGTACAGAGTATTTTTTTCCATGCTGTAGAAGGATCATTTGAGATGCTTTTCCTGTTCTGTACTTTTCAGTAACATTGCAAAAAAATTGTAGGATATGTTTGAGTATCGTTAGTGCACAATGGATGTAATTGGTGAATTAATAGTTCTAACACTTTGATTGTTTCAGGTGGAAAAGATACCATAACATTCAGTGACCCAACCTTGCCTGTTATACAGCAGTCCAGGTCACCGTTGTTAGCGTTTACTGATAAGCCACAGAAAACTGAAGTACAAGGTGAGCTCCTGGAACGTAAGGAACATGATGAGAGCTGAGCACTCATTTCTTTCCAAATAAAAAGTAATAAATTTTCATGCTGGGATAGCAGAAGGCAAAGTTTCAGTGGTCACAGAGATTGAATAAATCATCCACAAGTAAAACGGATAGATGGTCCCAGTACAAATAGCAAAGAAATGACTGAAAAATGACTGTTGAATAGATTGCACAGGGCTAGGGATCAGGTCTTATACCTCAAAGAATTTTCCTGCCAGATAACTTGATACCGTGAGAAGTTACTCATGCCATCTATGTTACAGTTAACTGCCTCCTGCTCTTTTTCCCCTCAGTTAAAATGCACAGTAGGAAAGCAGTCTGTGGAACTGGCTTAGCACTTTCCTGCATTATAGCTGATATCTAGATGAAAGGCTTCCTGATTGCGCCCGGTAAATTGAAATACTGGACTCGTTTTCCCAGAGAAATTGACTGCTTTTTTTATAGTCTTGCATGTGTTTTCTTAAAAATCCTTCCCCAATAGCAAGCTTTAACATCTCTCCAAAGTCAAGCTTAACTTCATTTGACAGTAGCAGAAGATAGTGTTTTGCTGATTACCTTGATTTCCCCCCCCCCCCTAGTTTTTCATAATGGATGGGAGATGGATTATTATGTTTGCCTATTGTCATTTGGATAAGCTCTGTAATGGGCATAACATTTTGGTATGCCCAGATCTTACGCAGCTAACCATGAAGCATCATAAAGAATTTATTTGTTAGTCCTGAAACTAAATAGATTGTGGCTTAATTTTGACTTTAGTATCCATGTCATCATCTGATAAAACTTGACAGCCAGACTGATGGTTTTTTATAATCTTGATCAGCTGATATTTTTGCTAAAAATAAGAAGTGAAACTATAGTGAATAGTTCTCTGGTGAGTAATAACAACTCATAAATATTCATTTTTTGCCTGCTTAATCATTGATTTTTAATTAAATCTGCAGTTACTGAAAGTATTTACTTGGTGACATTATGCTCTTTCCTTTACGTATTTGTCCTAGGTGAGGTTGGTATTACAGTTTTGATTAAAGCTGCCTGTCAAATCTCATCAGACCCTGTTTCTGTTGCTTTGTAACACTGCCAAACTTTAGCTCTGGGCTGAAGCTTTCCATGCTGTGTTTTCTACTTCAGCTGATTTTTTTAATGTCGGCCAAATCACTTTTTTGTGTTAAATTCTGATGACCACGTGTTTTTTGGTTTTTTTTTTTCTTTGTCTGTTTGTTTGGTTTTTTTAACATGCAAGCATTTAGTATATCTATAATTGAAAGGAATTTGAAATGTGGGGAAAAGGTTTCTGCCCTGAGAAAACGGGCTGGAGTTTCCACCCCATTCTAAACCATGCACTTTCAAATCTCATCTGCTAAAAACAATGAAAACCAAACCAATGATTCTGTTGTTTGCTTCATGCCACCAACGCTGATAAAATTCTGCATTCACCATTCCTTCAAGATAATGTAAACCTAGAGGGGAAAAAAACCTGGAGCAGAGAGGAAAGGAAGGCTGAGATCAGGACTCTCAAGTGATGGGAAGGCTAGAGTAGATGGGGATTGACAGAGTCGAACAAAGTCTAAGTGAGGGGGGACTTGTGTCTGACTGAGCAGAGGTCAGAGCACAGGAGCGAGGAATCAAAATGCTGACAGTGAAAGCAAGGTGTGATAAAAAAGATTGAAAGGTGGATGAGAAATGGGCAGAGTGAGTGTAGGGACTGGATAAACAAAGGGATATAGGGCAGGAGCAAAGAGCTAGGCAGGGGAAGAGAAGAGTAGAATAAAACAGCCCCGGAGAGGAGAAGGCAGACAAGGATTAGGCCTGTGGCAGTCATGGGAAGAATCTGCTCCCAGCAGGTCATCACCCTCTTTCCCCTTCCCCATCCTATAACTGTAGGAGAGCCAAGATCAATCACAGAAATCCTGTCATTAAACTGGAGTAGGTTAAGAAATTACTGTTCTGCCTGCACAAAGTTTGTTTTTTTCCCTTGCATGTGGCTCAGTATACCTGATAACCTGCAGTGAGAACTCAGACAAAACTCACCTCTGTGATAGTTTAAATAAACTGGGCCAACTTTTCAGTGACGCAGATGAGCACATATATACTACCAGCTGTGCGGGGCATGCCATAGCTTCTAGCAGTAGGTGGAGCAACAATAACTTTTTCCGTTGCTCCAGATCCTTTTTCTGGAGGATGTTTGGGGCTGCCCTCTTCCCTTCGAAGCCTGGAAAGGAAGCAGTGTGTTTTCAGCTGTAGGGCATGTCCCTGTGCTTGGAGTCACACAGCTCCTCTGCAGTCAGCAGCTATATGGGAGTGATACACTGAGTCACCTTTTGTGCCACTCTGCATAGAGAATGACTCTCTGTTGTTGAGTTTTAGGAGCTTGGTGCATATTGCAATTTTTCATCTGTACAGTGTACCTCCAAAATCTGGGGGAGCTTGGCAGCTGAGAAGAACAGGAATGTGTTCATCTGCCTTCATTTACCAAGGAAGTATGCCCTTGGTTGAAAAGTATTCCAGAAATAAAAACAAAACCACTTTTATTTTCCTCTTAGTTGAATGATCAGTTGAGTGAAAACAGTTGATAAGCAGAATAGCAATGAAGTTCTTAAATACTAGGCCTGATGTCACATTGGTCAGCTATGGTCCTTTAAATACTACCATTGCTATTTGGTGCCCGTTTGGCCCAGGAAACATTTTTAGCTTTTGCACTAACATACATTCTTTATCAGAACTTTCTATAATACATCAAATGTTGCTCTAGCTAGATCTACAGATAATCAGAGGGCTTTTTCAGGCTTTTTTTATCTACTCTATCTGCTTACCCTGATCTCATCAAGGCCTGTTTTAGCATGTACTTGTTATCATTGTTTCAGTTAAGCTGGATGGTAGACATCTGTAGGATATACTATGCAGTTCCTGTATGAAAATGAGTAATGACATAGTACAATCATATGAATTAAAGACTGTCTTGTGCCACCAAATCTCACTTTATCCAATGCACAGGATGGATAGTGTCGTGGGATGGATTGTACTTGAGCATCACAGCTACTAATGAACAGCTATTCTGTTTTTTTTCCTCTTCATTGTTGTGTGTATTGTTCCTGCTGTATTGCTTGTGCGCTATTTCAAGCATTCCCTGAAGAGAAAAGTACTGGTTTTCTATGAACTTTTCTCTGGTGTTCTAGTGCTTTGAAACAATTTATCTTCAGAAAATTGCAGCAAGGTGATGGGATGGTGTTATCCCACTGTAGAGGGAGGAAACTGAGGCACGCAAAGAATAAGGTAGAGTCCCTGCTAATTTTGAGTGCCAATTTGAGGTACATAAGTTTTGGCTCTTCTTGGAGTGCTTCGAGTATGTGTGTTCAGATACACAACACGAGCAGAGCAGTACTGCAAATCAAGCTCCTAGGTTTCCAGCTGAGTGCTCAGATAATGAGGATTAGATCCAGTGGGTGATCACCTTTTGAAAGTTAATTTATGCCTGCCTTTTCCACAGACTTAAATTCCAGCTCTTCAGAGTAGCATTCCTAGCTTCCTTAATGGGAGTAAGAGTGTCTGTTCCCTTCATGCCAACCCTTGTCTCTCTCACTCAGCAGCTCCCAAATTATAAATGAGGCGGGTCTGATAGAGACGATAGGCTCCTGTATTGTGTAGCTCTGATCCCTCCCTGCAGCCAGGCTGTCCTGTGCAGCGCGTGAGGCAGGATTCCTGCGGGAGAAATAGAGTAAATGCTCATATACTAAAAGGTAATGCATACGGACGACAGGAGTCATTTTAAGCTGTCAGTGCAGCTGTACTTCTGGCATTTCCTAATTTTTCTTACTTGACTTCGCAAGCTTATTTTCAGTGAGGCTTTTTGTCCTTAACTGAGATGAGGACAAATTCTCTTTCACAAAGCTGTTTGTTTACACGTTGCTGTTTTCTCTATTCTGACATTTTGTTCAGTGTTTGCCTTTTGGTATAAAGGTATATTTAAAATTCTTCCACTGCTGCTTTGTTTTATGCTGTTACCCGAATTAGAATAATCTTTTATGTTAGGAGAAATGTTGCAGGACCAATAACGAAACTTCATTATTGGATGAAAGCCTGTGAAAAGCTCCAAATAAATGGAGCTTGTGTTAACCCCTGAAAGTGGTAGTGATGTGGGGATTAATGTTAAGCTGTGCCAAAAATTTATGAGGCTGAGTGCCTTGCTTAGAGTTGATATTCCTTTGAAAAAGTTTGCCTGACCCTGCTGTTCTACAGTATGGTATCGACTATGACTCTTTTAGAGTTGTCGGTGTTAGGGAAGGACAGGCTCCAAATCCAGATCCAGCAAGAAACTTAGTGTTGCTTGCTTAACATCTAAGAAATGGGCCTGGGATGGGATAGGGAATCACTCTTAGAAATTCCTTACTGAGGTAAACATCTCTGTGGCCTGGCACTGGTGGTGACGGTCTTCAGGTCAGATATATAATAAATACCTGCGACTCACTAGAGCATCTCGCTGTTCCATTTCTCTTTCAGCAGAACAGAAGGGAGAACGTGATGAAACTCGTGCTGTTGCGAGTGAGTCCCTGGCTCCAGAGGGAACAAACTTAAACAACAGAAACCAAAATAAACATTTTTATCCTTCATTACCCCAGCTACCTTCTGAGGAGGAAGAAATAAACAAGCTTGGAAGTCAGATAATTAAACTGACAGAGCAGGCAGTTGCAGAACTGGAAGGGAAAAGAGCAGGCGCTTCTGCAGGGGAGCAGAACACGGTGGTTGGAGCAGAGCTTAATGTTTCATCTGAGGGAGAGTTCCCACTTTCAAGCCCTGACCCATCCGACCCCACAGATCCCTCAAACTCAGAGAACGAACAAACAGCTGAAACTGAGGCCCTGAAAGACAATGACGAAACCTCAGAGAGCGATTGTGAAATTCCAAATGAAAGAGGGAATCGAAATAGCAGCACCGTGGATGTGGTGCATACTGAGGACCCTGGAAGGCATGGAGGGCTCAGTGTTACAACTGCACACACAGATAACAGCTTTGAGGAGCTCCCTGAATCTGAAAACAAGAAACCATCTGATCCTGCTGAAAACTGTGAATATTTGGATAATGGTTTGGCTTGAGGTATGAAATCCAGGCCCTCGAGCATCCCACTAATCCTTTTGCAGTGTCTGTGCTGCTGCGAATATGATCGGTGAAACAGTGCGCTGTAGGGTTGATTTTTACATTGAACTGTTAATATTTGTCTAATAAAGATGTTTTTCTGTTAGTTTTGGCTACAGTGTACCAAAAATGTAAATTACCTACGGGAAAGAATTAGTGATGAGGTTTAATCATGTTGGGTTTTTGTAATGATTTGAAGTTTCTACATAGATAGATGTAATTTACATTAGTGTAGCAAAGAGACCAATGATAATGATTTATCATGTTATCACTAGGCTTCTGTAACGTGTATGGTCCTAGTGCTGGACTGTATTTTAATGGTTAGAAGTGTCTTCCAAGGATGAAAAATTTGGAGTGATAAATTGAGACGCATCTTAAGGCTGCAAGCTTTTGCTTGTTTCTCAGACTGCGTTCTATTTCTCTTTACATATAGTGGCTGTAAGTACATCCTTAGAATAAAATCACTATGCCCTTATAGGAAGTTTCTGAAAACCATCCCTGCATGTATATAGTTCTCTCATTACAAACCTTTATATCTTCTCAACTGTACAAAATTTTTCCTTCCCTCTCCCTGCTCATCGCATGAAAATGCAGGGAGTTATTTCACCAGATACTGAGAACCCAATTTAATGAAGCTCTAAAGGAAACGTCATCAGAGAAGCCAGAAGTCTTTCTGTGAGAAACGGCAATGCTGTTCCAAAGCAAGGAGAACAGCAAGAAGAGAACCAGTGATGCGCTGTCCACCTTCTTGGCTCTCCCAGTTACTGGAATTGCATTCCTCAACTTAGAGGAGCTGGACAGCCCTCAGGCTGAGCAACGGGTGGTAGATTTCAGCCTACACCATCTGTGCCCTCCTTTTTAAAGGAATCTGTGTCTCTTTTATTTTCTTATGTTTTGGAATTAAGGATAACTCTTCCTTTCCTCCTCATTTCACCAGTCTATGGAGTGGTAGAAGGTTTATTTGCATTGTTGCTTCTTTCTTAAGCATCTTCCCTTGTTGATGTTTAGTCATAGGAAAACACTCCTATAATAACTGGGGAAAAGGGAGGCTGCTGTGTCATTCTCTAGCTCGCTCCTGATGCTGGAGCTGTGCCACTCTGCTCCTAGGAAGGCAGCAACAAGGGAATACTTAACGTTGAAGTTAGCAGCTGTCAGAGAAGGGGAGGCACGTCCTTCCTCTCCTGTTTGTAGCATAAGGTACAGTCTCTGCAGCTGTGGAGCTTCTATGGGCCAGCAGCCGTCAAGGCAATTTTTCTGCTGGCTTGGGACCTAATTGTCTGTAAATGTTCATTTCTCACTCCTAGAACTTGAAACCAATCAGAGAGAATTAAACCAAATTTAATAAAATACTACTAATAAAAAGGAAAATCCCTCCCAGATTGAGTCCTTCTTTGACAAATAACTGCCAGCTGCAAATTTTTACAGCCCACTTGTCAGCCACTGAATAAACAGAGTTTATATTAGCAATACTGACAAACTCTTCTGTATATGGAAGATGAGCTAGCAGGTGCTGCCATAATCAAGGTGTCAGAGTCCATGAACAGTTTGTATTCAGCAGCAGAAAGGCTGTATGTAAATTATTACATATAAATATAAGGAATGATAGTGGGAAGGTGAAAAATGTGGCTTGTCTGTGTTCTCATGTGTTTTCCCTAGCAGGTGCATTCAGGTAACCCTTTCAGTGTCTGTCTGCAGGCAATAAAGCCATACTCGCAGTGCTCCGCAAATATGTTTCCTTTCTCTTTAAAGGTAATTTGATATTGCAGCATTTCACTGATACTGAGCAGCAGCCCTTAGGAACAAAAACCATCTGTATATTTAAGCAGATGAGGGACATGAAGGAATAAGAAGTTTTTCTTTCATTATCCTGATCACCATTTAAGTTCCTCATCACCTGAAAAACCAAGAAGAGTTTAAGTATTTGAAAGACTGTTGTGCTGTTCCCATTAATTGTAACTGACTGCATTATTGACTCATTTATATGACGGTACTGACAAGTCAGAAGAGAAATAGCTGCAGAAACTGAAATCTCCGGGAGAATGTGGCAGGGTTTTTTCCTTTAATGCTTGAATGTGACATGAAGTAGCATTTTATTCAAGACGTATTCTTTTCCATCTTTCACAGACTAATCCTGTGCAGAGCTAAATATCAATGCAGTCAGAACTGAGGCAAGTGAATAAGAAGGTCAAGATTTCACGTAGCTGAGCTCAGAAATGTTGAGGGTGTTATATTGTTTCCCTGTCCTGTGTCTTTCCTGACCCACAATTGTATGTTAGCGTTTTGCTCCTGGTCCCTTAACAGCCAGTTAAAGCTATTAATTAATGAAAAGCTTGGTGCAAAAATTTGAGCAGGTAGAAGCTAGTGCTGGACTGACAGCTTTTTGTGCCTCATTCGTTGATTCTTTCTAGTATGTTTTTTCTGCGAGAACATACAACCCAACAATTAGGACATCTTGGTAATTATCCTCACACCATTCTCCCTCTTAGATGCCATTTTTATATCTTTGCAATCATTAAATTCCAGTGAGATATTTAGATCTCTGGAAACCTCATTTTTAGTGCGACATCACTGCTGCGATACTGTCCCTCTCCTTTCTGCCCTAGTGAATGTGTATTCTCGTTACGTTTTTAGCCTTCTCCCAGGAACACAAGACTTCAAAGGCAGAAGACTTGTAAAAGACAGACATCTGTGCTGCACTGTGCGATAACTAATTAAATATTCTTGTCGGTATCTTCCTTGGATATTGCTTTAATTGATATTGTTGTTCTATTAGAACGATGATTTTTCCCCAGCAAATTAATTAGTGCTTTGTGTGGAATCAACACCACTTTAGGTTTTGGGGGGTGTTTGGGGTTTGGTTTTTTTTTTTTAGACTTGTGTTCCCTTTTTCTAGGACTTTAGAAATGCAGAAATTGCATCCAGAGATACAAGCCTTTTTGGTGTTAGGCTCTGGAGAAGCGAACTGGGAAGGGAATGTTGTGGCAGGGGTATGGAGAAGATGCATTTCACAAACTGATTTTGTCAGTTTTGTCAACTGAGGTTGTCTCACCTGAAACTGAATTCATGCATCATCCGTGAGAAGGATTTCATTTGAAAGTACGATGTTGTGGTTATTTGAAAAACAATGTTCACTGAATTTGTAAAATAAGTGTGTGAAAATGACAGATTAAGAAGCATCTTTTAGAATGCTGCTTCTTTTTTAAGTGAGACTATTTTTAAACATATGGGAATTTGTATAATAAAGACAGTGCAATTTCTTTAATCCATATGAGCTCAGGAATGTATTTCAAAATCTTAACTGAGATTAAGTTGAAAGTCTGCTACAGTTCTAAAAGATAGGATTTTGTTTACCAGCTTCTGTTTTGTAGTTTTACTTTCTAAATTATGCAGTTCAATTTATTTGCAAACCTGTCTTTTGTTGCTGCCTGGATTAACTGCACAACATGGTTCAACTGTATTAATACATTTTGTCAGCTTTAATAAAAACATTTCCTGATACGCTTGTTCTACCTGCTGGTTTCCTTTTCTCTTCTCAGTATCAGATGAATGATAGTCATGAGGTAGTGTTTTAGTGTTTTCAGTGAATTGTGTTAAATTAAAAAAGTAAAGCTTTATTGAGTGAGAGTTTTAAGTCTGAAAATTGTCAGACAAATCTTTTCACTGTCGCTTCTCCCAGTCTAAATTGACTGATTTACTTCCTACATTTTTGTATGAAGAAACGCACTCAGTATTTTTTGGCTTTGAAAGTAATATTTATCTGTGATCTGCTAACTTTATCATCATTGTCTAAGCAGCATTAAAACTTTTGTATACAACTTAGTTACTAACAGGCACAAACTAGAGGCTTTAGGGAATTTTTGCTGGGGAGTGATGGTAAGCTGGAATATTTCTTTTAAGCCTGCTTTCAGATATAAACAGTGTGATTTAGCTATATAGCCATGTGGACAATTTAAAATAGTTAATAAGCTTATACATGTTTGAGAAGTAAACCTGAAAATACAAGTAGGATAACCTAATGGATCTAAAGTTTAAAACAGAAATGTCTGTACTTCCCCCTATTTTTAGGGGAAGTCCATTATCCAGGTCTTGCAACACAACACCCAACACTACTGAAAGCACGGAGATCTTTTTGCCTTTCAGATGTGCAGCTAAATACAGGGTAGCGTCTAATGAGAGGCAATTTCTTACTTACTCATATTAACTTTTTTTCCTTTGGTATCTAACTTACGATCCCTTAGGAGCCCCTTACAGCGCACAGATGCTTTACAGACTATCGACCATACCTGTTGGCACTCTTACTTACATGCGTTCAACTCCCAAACTGCATAAAAGGGGATCTTTTCTCTTCAAGAAAATACATCACAATGTTGAGTTGATGCTGTTTTTATTGATGGGCTTACAGAAAGGAAGCTCTACAAAGTGATACGCATTTCTTAGAGGAGCAAGCAAATGGAAATGGGAATCCTTTAGCCGTATATTTTAGCGGCCAGTGGCACAGCCTAAGGTACTCTGTGCTGCCCGGGCCGTAGCTGGCTTGTTGGTCTTGACTTAAGCCTGGTTCTATGTTCGTTTGTTGAGCCCTCTCTTCTTCTTGTCTGTAGCCTCGGGCAGTTTCTCTTCCCACAAGTTCTTGTTGCATATCCCAATCACGCAGCAAGCCAGACGTTTCCCAGCATTTCCATTTTCCAAACTGGCCTTATTGTTGCCCTTGCCCATGTCGTCTTCCTGCTCATGGATCACAACAGATCTGCCCATGATGGAATATGGACCAAACATAGTGGCAGAGAGATTTGGTTTGTATTTTCTGATTTTGCCTTCTTTAGGAAAAAAGTTGCCAAAATCCCCTGGGTGACGGGGGTGATTCACGCTGAAAGGGTTATAGTGTCCTCCCGTAGAATCACAGCCGTTGCTGAGATCCCCAAGCTCGTGGATGTGTATGGCTCTACCAGATTGATTATTATCCAATGGAAACCCATCCAAGTAAAAAATGGCTTCTAATCTTCCATATGAGTAATACTGTCTGAATAAGACTTGTCCAGTCACTTGTGGCTTGTCAGTATCTATTTTGGAGCTTGGCCTCATTTCACAAGTGGCGTAAATCATCCCATCAGTCTCATTACCAGGCATTACCGGATAGAGCAAATTCTGCCAGAGGTCGTTCACTTTTTTCTGTATGTCATGAAATGACTCTTGGCTTGGATCAGTTTCTTTGTTTGTCATGATGCCAGAGGCAGACAGGGCAAGCCCAGTGACCAGAGAAAGAAGCAGAAGCATCTCGGCAATTCAGAGCCTGCAAAAGGTACAAGAAGCTATAAAGAATTAAGAGCTTTTTGCAGCAGTATGGCTGGAGAGAAGGGCATGCAGCCTGTGGCGGGGCTGAGCAAAACAGCCGGAGCATAGTCCCGGGTGGACTGCTGCTTTCTAAATCTGTCTAATGTGATGAATTGAAACTAAATCAGAATGCATACGCATGTTTAAACACAAACAACTGACACCCATGACTAAAAGAAATACTAGTGATTTTATATTTTGCACTAGATCTTGATCTTAAAAACTGCCTCTTTTTCCCTGCAGGAAGCAAGTAAGCCAAAGTGTTGTTTAATCTATTTTTGAGTTTGTATTGAGACTTTTCTCCTACTACAAATTCCAGCAAGACAGTTTGCCAGGAGGCTTTTCTTGATCCTTCTACTTAACCACTAGTTAGGCATTACAAACAAAAAGTAAAAATCCAACAAGTTGATTACCTTGCAGAGCTGCGGCAGAACCCCTCAGTAGTAGCTCTTTGCCTCTGGTCCCCTAAACTGAAATGCGATCAGACAGAAAGCCAGAGCTGTTTGAAGTTGATGCTCACAGGAACTGCGTGTTTGTGTAAAAGTTAGGTAATGCTGGCTAAGGGGAGGTGTCACCGGGAGAACCGTGGGAGGGGAGGGAGGGGGTGAACACTTTGTCCTTTCTCGGTTAGTTTGTCAGTCTGGCTCTCAGTCGTCACTGACATTCCAAAAAAAAGGAAAAAAGTTATCAAGCTTTTAAATTAATCTTCCTTTTGATGACTTCATGTGCTTACCTAAAACAAGCAACCTTCAACATGCAGTGAGGGGAGAGGACAGAGCTTTATTAAGGCACAGTTGGGCAGTTCGTTCACTTACATGCTGGTTGTCATGGAGCTGGTTTGCATTTTTATTTCTTTATTAGCCAAAATTGAAAGTGGTGCTTGAGCAACATAAACTGTTCCACATGGATGTATACCAAAGTTTCTGTGGTTTTAAAACCTGAAGGGCACAATTCAAACTGTCAGATGCTGAGGTACATTTCAGTGATGCTTTTCTGTAAAGTTTTAGGGCTACTGTCTGCTACTTTACTTGCCAACTTAGCTGCTCCACTGAAGTAATTTTTTCTTCTTTTTTTGAGACACCGGTGATTTTCCAAAGAGAGAAGTAAGCAGTAGTGAGGCAGTGCAACGTCAGACTGAGGCACAGAGAAATTGTTTCCCAGAAGCTGGCTGGAGCACGGAAAGTTCACATGTGTTTCATCATCCCGTGAACTGAGAAACGCTCTCCTCTTGGGGGCATTGCCCAGCCTGCAGCACTTCCCACTGCTGTAGCTGAAATGTGGATTCAGCCGTCACAAGAGCAATTTAACAGGCTGAGATTTCTGCAGAGAGAAAAGAGTAGCTCTTATTACTCAGGAACAATTCTCAAAGCAAGAATATTGCAAAGAAAATCCTTTTTCCCAGTTCATGTCTACTGCCAGCTGGGTAAGAAATGTGACTGTCAGCTTCTGGAATGGTAAAATTGTGTGTGTTAATCTTACTGCTCTCTTATTCTACATCAGATCTGAGATACTCAGTTATCTGAGAGCTGGTTTTTTTTTTTTTCTTTCTGTATGAGGGAGAGTAGAGCTACAGGGGTGTCCACTACTTGGATCAGTAGCCAGGGGCTGGAAATACAGAGTTAACTTCTGCTTGGGATTTTGGGATATTGAACGTGTTACTTTAGCCCTGGGCTTCAGTTCCTAATCTATGAATTAGGACAACTAGTATTTCTTTTCTTCAGGGTATTTATGAGCTGTTCAGATTACCGTGCTCGTGGGAACCATGCAGTGTTCAGTGGAAGCTGAACATGTAAGACCGAGAGCCAGGATTGCCCGTCACCCCAAGCTTAACGCTACCTCCTTTGCAGCCTTTTCTCAAGTTCATTCACTGTCAGTCTTTGAGCTGGGGAAATCCATACCTGTGACATGGTAATACTATGAAATTGCTTGGTTTTAAAGCATTTGAAAGAAGTAAAATGTTTTATAATTAGGTTTTATAAATATACGCAGAAAATGTTCAGCTAACAACTAGCCAAATGCAAAGGGGGATGGTTTAAGTTTGTAAAATGCAAGAAGCAACTGTCCAGTCTCGGTACTATTAGAAAAACTATTTCTTAGCATCATAAACCATTTTTAAGGGGACATGATGAATGGAAGAAAGAAAGGAGCATCGTTCATGGTTTACTCCTTGAGTCACAAAGTAATGGAGTGCAATTGAGTTTAACACCTCTGCAAGGAAATTTCCAAACCAGCAGTCAGCGCTCCAAGAAAAGGATTTTAAAGCTTTAGTTGAATTATAAGGCATTTTGAAATAGGAACTAGGGTCAGAATTTTAGCTGGTTTAAACACAATAATGCTGCTGACTTCAGTGGCATTTGTGCTGTTTTACACCAGCTGGGATTCTGTCCCTGAAAAAACCCACCCTGAAAAGCCCAAGGTACTTGCTGCAAAGCTCTTTTTTAATGTACTGCACATGCGGGAACGAAGCAGAAATGCAGAAGGGTGTAAAGGAGATGATCAAAGGGACAGAAAGGACTGCAGCAAAGCTAAATGATCTATTTGTAGTGCTCTGCACTTCAGAGAATGAAAAGGGAAATACTAGCTGTGGGCTGCTGTCAGAAAGATGTATTTTAAAAAGGAGAAGGGCTGATAACTACAAGAAATGCAATTGCCGGGGTGATTTGGCATTCAGTCTGGGTCTGAAAGATGGAAGTCACTAAGTAGTAACCAGGTGTATCATTAAAGTCTATTGTCACCCACTGCCTATATTTTAGTTTTCTGGTTAAAAAGTGGTGCCGAATAACGGGCTAACAGCCTTTAAAGCAGACAGCAGTTAATGGGAGGAAAGCCCACAGTGACCTGACCATGCACTTGTACTTGTGTTACAATCCCTGTTTAAAAAATAGACCTCTGCTTTTGTCTCAGTTGTACAGGATCTATCGCATCCTGAATTTCATGCAACGTCCTAGAGTCTCCTGGGCTATACAAGACAGAGTCGTCAAAACAACTTCTGCAAGGCTCTCTAGGCCACATAGAAGAACATGACTTAGCTTTACTCACGGACTTTACAATGGACTTTATACGTGGTTCTGCTCACAAGTTCTCAATCCATGCTATGACCTTCAGGTTTGTTGGTTGGTGGGTTTGTTTTGTGGTGACATCGTCCCATTGCATCACCCCGCT